GGCCTCTCCAAATAAGCTAAAATATGGCAGGAAATCAAGTAGGAAAAGAAGCTGCTGTTGATGATGACAGATTTAACCTCTCACTCCCTAGTCAGGGTACTGTCAGGCATCTATGAGGAGTTATACTCCTTCCTGCGGCCAGCCACCAATACCAAGGGCTACGGCTAGTGGAAAAAGGGTCTCCCAAAGCTCCCTCTACACAAAAATTTATGGTGAGAGGGGACAAGGGAGAAGCCACAGACAGAAAAAAAAATGCAGGAAATTCACAAGACTAGAAATTAAGATGCTCCACAGAGCATAAAGAGGAAGCTGACCGACTAGCCTGCTTCTACACCAAAGGGGCAGAACTCATGCTTAATTGCAAGGATACTAACGGCTGACAGGCTCCAGCAAACACCTATGACAGAGTGTGGCCCTTTCACTGATTTGTTCATTGAATTTGGATTCAGTCAGAGGGCCTGCACTTGAGGACCTAGAGGGCCACATGTGGCCTCCAGGCTGCAGGTTCTGCACCCCTGTCTTAAGATATCAATCGCTCCTTAGGAGCTCTTCCTGAAGGGTATCCTATTTGACCCAGGACCCCAGCAGGATGCCCAATTCTACCTGGGCCCTCAGTCATCAGACTTGACCTGTTTTCATTTTCCCTGACTGCCCTACTTATTAGAAATATATTTAAAGATAGCTTGCTTTACTGTCTTGCTGTGTACGACATGTTTCCTTTACTGGATTTTGGTATATTCCCACACCTGTTGGTAAAGCACTGAATTGGTTATCTGTTCTGGAAAGCAATATGGTATTATGCCCCCAAAGTTACTAACTTTTCATATGCTTTGACCTAGCAATACCACTACTATGTCTATACCCCAAAGAGATCAAAATCACCCATATGTACAAAAATATTTATAGCAACTCTTTTCACGTTAAAAAAAGAATTGGAAACTAAGGGGATGCCGATCAGCTAGGGAATGGTTGAATAAATTATGATATATGAAGGCAATGGAATACTACTGTGCCATAAGAAATGATAAGGGGGCAGGTAGGTGGCGCAGTGGATAGAGCACCGGCCCTGAAGTCAGGAGGACCTGAGTTCAAATCCGGCTTCAGACCTAACACTTGACACTTACTAGCTGTGTGACCCTGGGCAAGTCACTTAACCCCAATTGCCTAAAAGCAAAAAAAAAAAATGATGAAATGGGAAAGTCTCAGAGAAACCTGAGTCAACTTGTATAAACTGATGCAGATGTAAATGAGCAAAGCACAAACAACTCATATAACAACAACAATACTGTAAAGACAAACAACTCTGAAGGCCACGTGCACTCTGATGCAATGAACAAGATTCCAGAAGACCAATGATGAAGTACGTTACCAACCTCTTTGCAGAGGAATGACAGACTTAAGGTGCAGAATGAGATACTTATTTTTTGGGTATAGCTCATGGGAAAATTTGGTTTGACTATGTATATTTGTTACAAGGGTTTCGAGGGTTCAAGGGTTTGAGTCTTTTTAATTGATGGGGGGGTATTGAGAGATAAAAAAATAGATTTTTGTTCATTGAAAAAAATTAACTAAAAAAGAACATAAGCTTCTTCAGTACAGTGACTGTTTTTGCCTTTCCATTTACCTCCACTATTGCTCAGAACACTGATACACCATTAAATGCCTACTCAATGACTACAGACTTATTTTTAAATGAAAACTTCTGTATTTTATTTATAATGGCAAAGAAATGGAAACTAAGGGAGTGGCTACTGAATAGAGGAATGGCTGAACAAATAATGGTCTAAAAATATGATAAATAATTTATGAATGTAATGGAATATGATTGTGCAACAAGAAATAACATGAGTTGAGACCCCTAAGAAGACCTGTATGAACTAATGCAGAGTAAAGTGAGTAGAAACAGGACAATTTATACAATAAGAACACTTCTAGAGAACTTTGTCAAATTTATAAGAATATGAGTTATTCCCCAATTGACAAATGGTCAAAGGATATGAACATACAGTTTTTAGATGAAGAAATAAAAACTATATATATTAATGGGAAAAAATGCTCTAAATCATTATTGATTAGAGAAATGCAAATTAAAACAATTTTGAGATATCATCTTACATCTATCAGAATGGCTAAAATGATAGAAGGGGAAAGTGACAAATGTTGTAGGGGATATGGAAAAATTAGAAGACTAATACAGTGTTGGTGGAACTGTGAACTGATTTTGGAGAATAATCTGGAACTATATCCGAAGAGCTATAAAACTGTGCATATCAGGGGGCAGCTAGGTGGCACAGTGGATAGAGCACTGGCCCTGAAGTCTGGAGGACCTGAGTTCAAATCCGGCCTCAGACACATAACACTAGCTGTGTGACCCTGAGTAAGTCACTTAACCCTATTACCTAGGAAAAAAACAAAAAACAAAACAAAACTGTGCATATCCTTTGACCCAGCAATACCACTATCAGGCCTGCTTCCCAAGGTGACTACAGAAAAGGGAAAAAAATGTATATGTTCTGAAATCATTATAGCAGCTCTCTTTGTGGTGGTAAAGAACTGGAAATTGAGAGGATGAGTCAATTAGGGAATGGCTAAACCAGCTGTGGTACATAATTGTGATGGAATATTACTGTGCTATGAGAAACAATGAGCTGGTTGATTTTAGAAAAACACTGAACCCAGCGAAAATAAGCATGACCTTTCAGGGGAGGAGATGGATATTCAATGAAATTGGGGACTTCCATACCTTCCTGATAAAAAGACCAGAGCTCAACAGAAAATCTGATCTTCAAATACAAGACTCAAGAGAAACATAAAATGGCAAATGGGACAGAAAGAAACAACATGTTATTAATAAAGACAAACTCTTTACATCCCTACAAAGGAAGATGACACTTGTAACTCTTGAGAACTGTATTGCTATTACACCATGTAAAAGGGGTATACATAAAGGAGGTGGGTATAAATTGACTTTGATGTAATGATGAAAAAAATCTAATCAAGTAGGTTAAATGGATCCAAGTAAGTGAATTAATCTGATCTAACTAAGAAAATGTACTGAGAGAAAAGGAAAGGAGGAGTCAGACAAGAGTAAACACATCACAGGAAAAGGCATTAAAAACCTATTACAGCAGAGGGAAAGAAGGGAGGGAGATGAGCATTGTTTGAAACTTACTCTCATCAGATTTGGCTTAAGAAGGGGATAAAACAATCAGTTAGGCATAGAAATCTAACAGGCCCAATAGGCAGTAGGAGGGAAAAGGGGAAAGAAAAGGGAGGCGACTAATAGAAGGGAGGTGGGACTAAGGGAGACTTGGTCAAAAGCAAAACAAAAAGCATAAATGGGGAAGGGGAGGGATAGAGAGAAAGACACAGATAGTTATCATAATTGTGAATGTGATATATGAATGTAATGGAATACTAGTGCTATAAGAAATGATGAACAGGCACACTTCAGATAAACCTGGAAAGACTTGTATGATTTGATGCTGACTGAAGTGAGCAGAACCAGGAGAACTGTACACAGTAACAGTCATATTAAGTGATGATGGACTTTGATAGACTTAACCCCTCTCAGCAATACAAGGATCTAAGACATCTCCAAAAGCCTCATGATGGAAAATGCTATCCACATCCAAAGAAAGAACTATGGAGTTTGAATGCAGATCAAAGCATACTATTTGCTTTTTTTTTTCTTCTGTTATGTTTTGTTTCCTCTTTCTGGTGGTTCCTCCTATTAATTCTTACTTACAACATCACTACTGTGAAAATATATTTAATAAGAATGTATATGTATAGCCTATATTAGACTGCTCACCATCTTGGGGAGGGAGGTAGAGAGGAAAGAAGGGGGGAGAAAAATTTAAAACTTAAAAGTTTCTGGAAGTGATTGTTGATAAATCAAAATAAATTAATTTAAAAAAATAAAAACCAAACAATAAAAAAGAGAGCAAAAAAAAAAACAAAACACTGAGACTTGCATGAAATAATGAAGAGTGAAATGAGCATAAACAAGAGAATGTTGTAGGTATACAGTAACAGCAATACTGTTCAAAGAACTGTGAATGACTAAGTCATTACGAGTATTATAAATACTGAAATCAATTACAAAGGACCTATGAAGGAAGATGCTGTCTGCCTTCACAGAACTGACATAGAGAAGTATGTATAATATGGTTTATATATACACAGACACACACACATATATTATCTAATGGTGGCCTTCTCTAGGCAAGAGTGGGGAGGGGTGAGGAAAGGAGAAAAGAAATAAAGTGCACAGCAGATAACAAAAGAGAAAACTCAGAAGGAAGCACAGAAAATCAAGGTAGCTTTGACAATAATGTCTAATATTTATTACATATTTTTAAAAAAGTAAATTGTGAAATGGAGATTCATGGTTTCATATTAAATCCTCTTTGTATTGTACCATGTACAAGGAAATGGATTTTTTCTTTTTATATTTAAGGTCAAAATGAATAAGTCTTATACATATAAAACTCTGAAAGGCTTAAGAAGAGATCAATGCAATGAGAACTATCATTACAGAGGTCAGATGATAATCTGCGCTACCCACTTCCTGGCAGGTGATGGATTCAAATGCAGGACGAGATAGACACTTTTGGTCTGTACTGGAATATGAACAAGGGTTACAAGCGGTTTTTTTGCTTGTTTTAAACGGGAGGGAAGGAAAGAAAATAATGTTTAATTTTTTTAAAACTCTGGAAAGGTAGTCTGGGGCCAGATTGTGATCTCCCAGGGCTCTCGCAAGGTCACCAGAACCTGGGGCACAAAAGTTCAATGTCAGGGTTCCTCCAACCCTGGTCCTTTAGGCCCCGCCCCAAAGCTGACATTTTCCGTCGGAGTTCCGTAATTCCTTCCCCCTGCCCCCTTCCTCCGCGGCCTCCTCGCCGGCGCCTGCGCATTGACCACAAACCAGCCTCCTCTCCCCTATCCGCGCGCTAAGCGTGTGTCCAGGGGCGGGGGGGAGTGCGATTGCCACTCACCTTCTGCTGCTGTTGCACGCGGAGGTCCGACCCCTCGGCCCGCGCTGCGAACCCCGGCTAGCCCCCAGCCGCGAGTCCCCACGACCCTCAGCCCACAACCTCCCTGCATCGCCGGTGCTCCTGTCCCTTGCCCTTTCCGGTCCCTCCAGCAAACCAGCACCTGCTTCGTAAAGGTTCCAGACACAGTGTGCCCGGCCGTCTCGCGCCTCACGGGGACGCGAGTTCTTCTCTGGCGCCTTTTTTGGTGGTGGGTGGTCCTTTTTGGAAAGGGGAGGAGGAAGGGAGGAGAGGAGGTAAAGCCTACCCTGCCTGCTGGTCTTCAGTTTTAAGACCCTAGAATCTCTCCAGTAATTAACGTGGTTTAAATCCCAAAACGTACTTCTAGTCACACTCATTTTACAGATGAGGAAACTGAAGCCAGATTGGAGTTAAATGACTTATCCCATACTACGAGGCTAATTGTTGGTTACAGTAGGATAGGGGCCAAAGCGGAGATTATTTTGTTAAAAAGAGGAGTACCCCTTACCTTACCAATGCGAGTAAGTCCCTACATGGGACTGATGCTGCGCGAAGTGAGCAGAACCAGGAGAGCATTGTCCATAGTAACAGCCACATTGTGCGATGACTAACTTTGATAGACTTAGCCCTTCTCAGCAATGCACGGATCTCCAAAAGTCTCATGATGGAAAATATTATCCACATCCAGACAAAGAAGTATGGGGCTTGAATGCAGATCTAAGCATAGTGTTTGCTCTTTTTTTTCCTTCTGTTTTGTTTTCTCTTTCTTGTGGTTCCTCCTATTGGTTCTAATTCTTCTTTACAACATGACTAATGGGAAAATGTTTAATGGGAATGTATATGTAGAGCTTATATCAGATTGCACGCTGTCTTGGGGAGGGAGGCAGGGAGGGAAGGGAGAAAAATTTAAAACTCAAAAGCATATGGAAGTGATTGTTGAAAACTAAAAATAAATTAATACAAAAAATACAAAAAAAAAGTCTGGCCTGGTTGTATTTTCATTACAAAGGCTCAGGTTCTCAAAATCTAGCCAATAGCATGAATTCTTAAAATTTTGCCCACCTCAATTGGTGTTTTAATAAACCTTGTCTCTGGCTATAATCGTTTGAATTGAATTCTTTCAAGGCATGACCCACAATTTCTACCCTTGAATTTTGGGGTTCCCAGCACCCTTAGACTGCAACACTTCCAGAGTCATTCCTTAAAATCATAGGATCATAGACTATGATTTGGAGGGGAACAGACATAATCAATCCTCTTTCCCACTAAATCCTCCCAACCTCCTACCTTCCCTTTTACTGTAGAGGGCAGCCCCATCATCCCAGTTCCTTAGACTTACACCCTAGGTGTCATCCTGGATTCTTCACTATCTCTAACCCCACCCCATATCCAATCTGTTACCAAGGCCTATAGATTTCACTTTTGTAATCTCTTTCTAATATGACCCTTTCTTTCTTCTGACACTGCCATCACCCTGATGCAGGTCTTCATCTCCTCACACCCAGACTACTGCAATAGTCTGCCTCAAGTCTTTCTCCACTCCAGTCAATCCTCCATTCAGCCACTAAAATGATCTTCCTAAAGCATAGGTCTTTCCATGTTACCCTCCCTACTCCAGTGGCTCCCTATTGTTCCCAGGATCAAATACAAAATGCTGTGTTTGACATTCAAGGCCCTTCATAATCTAGCCCCCTCCTACCTATCCAATTGCCTTATACCATTCTCCCCATATTCTTTGACCCAGTGACTTTGGCCTCCTGGTTGTTCTACCAAGAAGACACTCCTCTAGGCTCTAGGCATTTTCTCTGGCTGACCCCATGCCTGGAATATTCTCCCTCCTCTGCTCTGCTTACTGACCTCTGGCTTCCTTTAAGTCCCAACTAAAATTCTATCTTTTATTGAAGGCTTCCCAATTACTCTTAATTCTTATGCATTACCTCCATTAATAATTTCCAACTTATCCTGTGTACAGCTTGCTTTATTTGTATTTGTTTGCATGACATGTCCTCTCCTTAGATTCTAAACTTGGGGGTAGGGACTGTCTTTTGCACAATCCCTCGCACCTAGTAGGCAGTTAATAAATGTTGATTGATTGATTTTACAGATACGGAAACTGAGGCCCAAATAAGGTCATGACTTGCTCAAGGTCACAAAAGTAGTAAATTGCAGAGTTGGAATTCAGATCTAGGTCCTCTGATTCTAAATCCAGAATTTTAAATTGAGACGACTTCACAAAGTCAGGTTAAGATGAACTCCAGAGAACGATTAAGTACCTGAAGGAGAAGAGTCAAGATGGCAAAGCAGAGAAGCACTTAGCTGAGCTCTCCCAACTTCCTCTCCAAACAATTCTAAAATAATGCCTCAAATAGAATTCTGGAGGGGCAGAAGCAACAAAGAGTCAGGTGAAACAATTTTCCAATCCAAGACAACTTAGAGGCAGGAAAGGCCTGTCTCATGGAAGATGGGGTCAAGCCTGGAACATAGTGAAGACTGTGAAGGGTATGCCACACCACAGCAGGGGACCTTGGAGGTGTTTGCACTGGTGGCAGCAGCAGTTTCAAGAGCTCTCAGCCAACTGATGGTGGCAGGGTTGGACAACCATTTGGAAGGAGATTGCAGCATACCTTTTGCTGATGCTGGGTTCAGGACTGTTGTATTGTTCATACATAGTGCAAGGTGAGGTTGAGTAATAGCACTTGCAGCCACAGGGGAGGAGTGACACTGGTCACTGTTCCAGGATGGAGAGGAGTGCTTGTGGTCATTCACAGAGAGTAGAGACCTTTGTCTCAATTCCAAGACAGAGGGTTGTTATTCAGTGGTCTGACTCTTCATGACCGCATGAACGATAGCACACAGGGCCCTTCTGTCCCCCATTATCTCCCAAACTCTGCAAGTTCATATAAGTTGTTTCCTTGATACTCATCTATCTCATCCTCTACCATCTCCTTTTCCTTTTGCCTTCAATCTTTCCCAACATTAGGGTCTTTCCTAACAAGTCATTTCATCTCATTATGTGGCCAAAATATTTAAGCTTCAGCTTCAATATATGACATGCCAGTGAATAGCCCAAATTAATTTAAGTATTGATTGATTTGATTTCCTTGCTGTCCAAGGTACTATCAAAAGTCTTCTCTAGCACCACAATTTAAAGCACTGATTCTATGACACTTAGCTTTCCTAACAGTCTAGCTCTCACAGCCATACATTGCTCCTGGAAAGACCATAGCTTTGACTATACAAAACTTTGTCAGTAAGCCAATGTCTCTCTTTTTAGTATGCTGTCCAGATTTGCCATAGCTTTTCTTCCAAGGAGCAAGTGTCTTTAAATTTCATGGCTGCAATTGCCATCTGCAATAATCTTTAAGCCTAAGAATATAAAATTGGACACTGCTTACATTTCTTCTCCCTCTATGTGCCAGGAAGTGATGGGACCAGTTGCCAAGATCTTGGGTTGTTTTTTTTTTTATGTTAAGTGTTTACACTCACTTCTTTCACTTTCATCAAGAGGGTTAATTCCTCTTCATTTTCTGCTATCAGAGTGGTATCATCTGCATATCTGAGATTGTTGATATTTCTCTTGGCAATCTTAATTTCAGCTTTTGATTCATCCAGCCTGATATTTCACATGATGTACTCTGCATTGTTGTTTATTTGTCCTTCATTCTCAAAGAGGACCATGACATCAGGAAGGTGATGCCATGACTTCAAGTGATTTAGATTTAAGTGAGGGAGGGCTGTGCAGAGTCACCAACCTCACTTTCTCCTCTGGAGCCATCTGGGTCCTGTAGCAAGATAGAGATCAGGACAACTAGAGATTGCCTCCAGCTCTCTGGGTAGAGTGGGGCAGAGGGGTGTGCTCATAAGTGTTAAACAATGGACTCTCCAAAGAAAAATTTATTCATAACTTTTTTTGAGGCAAACATGGTTAAGTTGGCATGCCATTTAAAAAATTTAATGCAGATTAAATGCAGATGCAGACTTCTCTTCATGTGTATAATGAGTATCTTATTTCTTGCCTTCTTAATGGCTGGGGGAGGAGGTGGAGAGAGGTAGAGAATTTTATTAATAAGGCTAGCATGTTATTAATAAAAGAGGGACTCTTGAATACCAAAGACCTGTACTCTGCATATAAGTTAAATAAAATGACAAAATACAGCCTTGTCATCCTCCTTTTCTAATCTTAAACCAATCAGTTGTTCCATGTTTGGTTCTAACCACTGCTTCTTGGCCTGCATATAAGTTACTCAGGAGACAAGTAAGATGACCTGGTACTCCCATCTCCATGAGGACTTGCCACATTTTTTTATGATCCACACAAAGGCTTTAGTGTAGTCAATGAAACAGAAATAGATGCTTTTCTGGAATTCCCTTGTTTTCTCCATAATCCAGCGAATGTTGGAAATCTAGGTCCTCTGCCTCTTCTAAAGCCAGTCTGGTTTTCTGGTAATTCTCATACTGAAACCTAGCTTACAGAATCTTAAGCAAATATTTGTTGGCATATGAAATGAGTGCAACTCTTCAGTAATTTGAACATTGTTTGGCATTGCCCCTCTTTAAGATTGGGATGTATACTGATCTTTTCCAATCCAGTAGCCACTGCTGAGTTTTCCAAATTTGCTGGCATATTGAGTGTAGCATTCTAACAGCATTATCTTTTAGGGTATAAAATAACTTAGCTGGAATTCCATCACTTCCCTTACCTTTATTGTTAGTAGTGATTTCTAAGGCCTATTTGACTTCATTCTCCAGGATGTCTGGTTCTAGATCAGTAACTACACCATTATGGTTATCAGTGATGTTCTTTCTTATATAGTTATTTTATGTATTCTTACCAGTTCTTAATCTCTTCTACTTCTGTTAAATCACTACCTTTTTTATCTTTTATCTGCCCATCTTTGCATGAAATGTTCCCTTGATGTCTCTAATTTTCTTGATGAGATCTCATCTTTCCCATTCTATTGTGTTCTATGTCTTTGCATTGCTCACTTAAGAAAACCTTTTCTCTCCTTGCTATCCTCTGGAATTCTGCATTCAGTTGGGTATATCCTTCCCTTTCTAGTTTCCCTTTACTTTTCCTCAGCTATTTGTAAAGCCTCATCAGACCTCCATTTTGCTTTCTTGCTCTTCTTTTTCTTTGAAATTTTTTTTTATTGCTGCCTTCTGTACAGTATTGTGAACCTC